ACTTTGTAAAATGTCAGGTGCTGGGCTTTAAGCTTCCAGGCCTCCATTATAATTCCTTAGGGTGTCAAAAGTCAACGGACCCATCAGCGCTGTGCCATCTAAAGGAAAGAGGAAGAAAGAGATTGTGGGGCTGCTCATACTCACCTCTTGGCCAGCTCTGTCGCAGTGGGGTCTGTGTCCAGGGTTGAGAAAGTGGAGGCTCATGGCTTCTACGGGAGAGTTCAGGAAGAGAACCAGACCCTGAGCGGTAGCTTCCAATGGGACAATCCAAGGAGGAACCAACAATCAAAACCTTTTTCCCCCGTATGCCATGAAACTGATTCTGGGAAGGTGGAGCGTGGCTTGTGTCTACAGAGAACATATATTTGTATATAATCAGAAAAAATAAACCTTATATTTAAAAAAAATAGTTATACAAGGTAGTGCTAAAGTGGTGGTAGCAGAGATCAAATGGAATAATGCTGAAGGGTTAGAAGTTGTTTATGTCTCTTCTACTTAACTTGAACTGCCTTCTGTTGAAATTGGGAGAGCTAGACGTGGCGATGCAAAGCTGAGGACATTTCCTGCCTTTGAGATGCTTACAAGTGATTAAAGAAAGGACTGAATCAGAGTACAAGAAATAAACTGGGAAATAAGAAGCAGTTCTGAATGGGAGAGGCGGAAGGGAAGGCTTTGGGCAGAAAGTAGGAAGGTGAGGAGTACACATTCTCTACAGTCTTTTAGCGAGGGAATCAGGAGCCTTCGCTGAAGGGACCCAACAAATTGGAAAGACAATACCTTTGTGTTATCTATGATGCAAGCTTTGTTAAAGTAATACTGTCAACAAGGTTGTAGGGGAAATGGTTAGCCATTTGCCTCCTGAGATCACTCTCTGTCCAGTTTGGCAGTAGTCTTAACCCCCACTTTGCCACAGCCATTGGGGCCGTGGAGACAGAGCCTGACGTCGGGGATTGCTCTTGGGGCTCCCCGACCCGCCAAGCAGGAAGCCCTTGCTCCTGGAGCCTACACCTGGAAGAGAGTCTTGGTCAGCCGAGTGGGCAGGAGGCAGAGGCAGCTAGGCCTGGAGAAGCCAGAGGGCTATTTACCAAGAGCCTCAGTGAATGAGTCATATGTGTGGACGTTTGTCACCACACCCCCAGTCTGAGGCAAAGGAAAAAGACACGTGGCCATGACCAGCCCCTTTCTGCTCCTCCCTTGTGATAGCGCATGAGCCCATCCAGAGGCCCCAGGTGATGTTCGAGTCAGTGTTCCTGCAGTTGGGGGACACTGAGGAGCTGTGGGTGGGGGTGATTGGCAGCGAGCAGGGCAGTGGAAGTTGCTCCCTCCGCCTGCCCTGCCTCCGCGCCCCAGCCCGGCTCTACACGTCGCCTAAGGAGGGGCGTTCTTCCCCGCTGGCCCGAGAGCGCCTCTGTGCCCGGGGTCTGGCGGCAGAGCTGGGCGCTGCCCGCGGCGACCGGGGGTCGGGGCTCTGCTCCGCTGCTCTGGGAGGACAGGCGACTGACCTGCCCGGTCTAACCTGCCGGGCGCCGTGGCCACGTGCTCAGGGCCCGCTGAAACTCTTTTCCTCTTTCAGGCAGAGCGAGAGGCGGGGCAGGGTGAGAGGAAAGAGAGTCACCCCGCCGCGCCCTGGCTGTGGGAGGTGTTTGCAAACACTCCCGGAATTCAGCGAACTGAGAGGGGTCAGCCGGCGGGCGGAGCTCTCCCGGGGCAGGCGGGGACAGGGCCTGGGCAGCCCTCAGCCCGCTGGGGGTCTGTGATGTTGGGAGAAGGCAGACTCTCACTCGTGGGCGTCAGTGAGTGAGTCTGGAAGGACAGACAGTGTGCTCTGGCCGGAGGAGGGGAGAAGACCAGCACCGAGGGGTCTGGCGGGCAGGAAGCCAGCTCCCAGCACGCCCTGTGCTGGAGCTCCTGGCATCTCTCTGCTCCGACAAATGTCCAATTCCTGCCTCTGGTGTGCCGCACCCTCTGAGCTAACCCTGCGCCCGCCTGTCTCTAGAGAGAAGGATCTTGATTTCCCAGGTGGTAAGGCACCGTTGCCCTCCCCTAACCCACCACCTCTGCTTTGACCACAGAGCCTATTTGTGTCTGACAGAAACCCAAACACATGAGGTCACAAGGTGCTCATAAGTTTTCCTTCCCGCCCCTGACCCTCCCTCTTTGTCCTCTAATCCTTTCCGGGAGTGGAAGGGGTGCTTTGTGTCCTCTCAGCCTTTGAGGCTGTCCAGCCAGGTTTCACTCCTTGCTCTCTTTACTGTGGGAGAGGGGGGAGACCAGAGCTGAAAAACTTTACTCCCAGGGTCACTTTTGATCCCAAATCTTTGACGTTGTCCAGCTGGGGTGTAGTGGAGTAGTGGACAGGAGGACAACCAAGAAGGAAGTAGATGCCTTACCGGAGGCAGCATCAACTTAGAACAGACACCAAGAATGGCTAAGGGGTGGGCCAGAAGGGGCAGGAGGCCGACGTCCCCAGATGAAAATGGAGGAAGGTGTCTGGCTCTGACCTGCCATGTTCTCGGCTGCTGGGCTACTTCTGCTCCTACTGCCTCGCAACCTGAAGCACGGCCTGATCACACCACTGCTCAAATCCTCTGAAGGCTGGCTCGCCTGGTCTGACGCCGGGGCATATCCTCTGTCGCCTAGTGTTTGTGATCTGCAGGATCTGGGCCTACCTAGCTTGGCTGGCTTATCTCTACCACCCATCCCCAGTGCACTTCTAAAAAATCCCGCAGTCCAGCCCCAATGGGGGTGCTCACAACCCCTGTACATGTCATGAACTCTCTGGCCCCCATGCCTTCTCTTCAGCTGCTCTGTTCTCTCCTCCTGAAATGTTTTCCCCCATTTCCCCTTCTCTGCCCATCAAATCTGGTATATCCTTTAGGGCCCAACTCAATGCTACTTCCTTCAAAAATGTCCACCTGCTTAGAGAAATTGCTCTGTTCTCAAAACGTCCAAAGCATTTTATTAACACAGGACTTCCTTTATAGCATCTGCCATGGTGTGCCTTGGAACTGGGTCTCAGGGAGGACTTTGTTCCCTCCGTAGCACCTAGCACAACCTAGGCACAGAGTAAAGTTCTCAACAAATCTTTACGATAATAATGGAGCCATGAGGTTGAACGAGGTTAACAGATCATCAAGAAGGGGAAATCCAAATAACAGAGTTCTCTTAGGTTTTCCTGCCACCTCATGTCTGGTGCCTCCTTTCCATTCCCTTCTGATGACCGTTAAATATTTACAACATACTAACTAGGCCTTTCCCACACTGTAGTCACCCTCAGTTGCAAATCTGAGGCAGAATGTCTGTCTTCTAATTTTCTACATGGTAAAAGGGCACACTAGGTACTCATGGTTGGCTGGAATAACCTGCAAACTCTTCAATTCCATAGCACTTCCTGAGTACCTACTGTGGACCCAGGTGTCTGCTAGGGGCTGTGGAGGGGACAAGTTAAACAGGTGACACCTCGTCCCTGCCCTGAAGGGGGCCATCAGAAGCCAAACCTTGGAGAAACCTGAGTGAAGTCTTGCAGTGGCTAGGACCTGGGTAGGCAGAGAGGCTGGCAGGGCAGCCACCAGACGGCCAAGCCAGTAAAGGCCTGGAGGTGGGAAGATTATCTGGGCTATAGTTTGTTCAGGAGATAGAGCAGAATGAGTCAGAGTGGGGTCAAAATAGCAACGCCTTGAAATCTCTGTCAAGTCTGAAGTTAATGCAGCTGGTGGTGAGGCAACATCGCAGGATTTCGAGCAGGTTAGCGCAGCAGTGTGCCGTGCGGATTGGAGGGAGGAGAGCCGAGAGGTCAGGGGAAATTAGTAGCAAGCCAAGCCTGGGGCTCTGAGGATGGGGAAGATGCAAGGGATGCAGCAAAAACAGTGGATGGGAGTCAGGACACCTGGGTTCTAGTCCCGACTGTATTGTGGGACCTTGAACAAGCAGCTTCTCGGCTCTGGGCCTTTCCTTAACTGTAAAACCTGAAAGCTTTCAAAATGAGCTTTCCAATGTGATGACTGACAGTTGAGCCTTTGAAGTAGGATATCAGGAAGAAAGGGAATTGGCCAATCTAAGGGACATTTGGAACAAGGAAGTGACTGACTGGGAGCCCAGAGGTAAAGAGCAGGGAGAAACTGAAGAAGGTCGAGCCAGGGAGAAATGGGGAACTGATGGGGGGTGGGGTGGGGGCGTCCGCTCCTGACGGCTGGTTTGGCAATCCCATTTTCAGTTCTTCCTTTCTTCCCCTTCCCTAATTTAGCCTCTTAGCCTCACCTTATTTGGTGAGCGCAGGGCAAAATAGGACACTCCCACACCACCTTCTGCCCACCCTCCGCTTTACCTTCCCCTTTCAGGCCCTCAAACGATCCTCCTCCTTCCCCACCACCTGGCACCATCCCAGAACCTACCTTCCCCCAGAGTAACGCATTCGGCGGGCGGGCCGACGTAGAAAGAGCAGAGGATTTGGGCTCATGTTTCTTATCACCTTTATAGCTACCGTTTATTGAGAACTCACCCATTTACCAGGCTATATGATTTTTTTACAGCAATTCTACGAGCTGATTATCTCATTTTACGGATAAAGAAACCGAGACCGAGAGAGGTGAAGTAATCGCTGCCAGGTCACGCACCCGCCAACTGGCAGTGCCAGACTGGAAGTGAGGTCTGACTCCCAAGTCAGTGCTTGGGCCAGTTCCGGGGCGGCGGTGCCACCTTTGGCAGCTGGGGCCCCCATCCCTGTGCTACTGCCTCTAGGACCGGAGTCCTCCCTGCCCCCGCCGCCCTCGCCGCGCCCGCCGGGTCCTCGGCGCAGGGTGCTCGGCCTGCGCTCCGGGCGGGCGGCGCGGGCAGGTGGGCGGGCGGGGCGCCGGCCGGGGAGGCGGGTCCTGGCGGGGGCGTGGCCGGAAGCCTTAAAGCGGCCGGGGCCGAGGGGCGGGCCGTAGAAGCCGCGGGTAGCGGCGATCTTCTCGTCGCGGCGATCTTCTCCTCGTTTGCTAGCGGATCGGGGCGCCGTCATCATGTCCCTGGCGGCCTCGGCGGGCCGGGGCCCGGGGGCCGTGTGGTCCCCAACGCACGTACAGGTGACAGTGCTGCAGGCGCGGGGCCTGAGGGCCAAGGGCCCCGGAGGCACGAGCGACGCATACGCGGTGATCCAGGTGGGCAAGGAGAAGTACGCCACCTCCGTGTCGGAGCGCAGCCTGGGCGCGCCGGTGTGGCGGGAGGAGGCCACCTTCGAACTGCCGCCGCTGCTGTCGGCCGGGGCCGCGCCGGCAGCCGCCGCCACCCTGCAGCTCACCGTGCTGCACCGCGCGCTGCTCGGCCTCGACAAGTTCCTGGGCCGCGCCGAGGTGGATCTGCAGGAGCTGCACCAGCACCAGGGCCGCCGGAAGACTCAGTGAGTGCGGGCCGGGGAGAGGACGCTGAGCGGAGGCGCCGGCCCCTCGGGCTGGGGCAGGCGGGCAGAACGTGTGGTGTGGGCGCGGAGGTCCTCTTGGAGTGAGCGCGGCAGTCACCGCGCTGCTGGGTCCCAAGGGGGCGGACGGAGAGGGGCCTTTCGAGAGGGATCCCCTGGACTCGTAGTAGTATTCTTACCTAGCTTTAACTTCTCCTTCAGCTGCCCCGCCCAGCTCTCCCTGTCTGTGCGCTCTTTGAAAGCAGGGCGGGGGTGGGGAGCGTGGATACCTGGGACATTTTTCAATCAGCTGAACCTTGCTCTCAGTTTGTGGAACCTAGTAAGCGCTTACTGAATTTTTGATGAGTTGAAATATATGTGGGCTGGCGAACACCTCTTCTCGGTGTGGGTAGTGTGTCTTTTTGATGCACGCCTTAGCCTCTGTGGAAAGCCTCTTGGGGATTTCTCTGTACTGGACACCGAGCTGAGAATGACCGGCCGGGCGCAGGGAGGATTAACTGGAGGAGTGAAACCCACTGCCACTCGCTGGCCCTAAGGCTCACCCAGGGACAGAGCAGGGGCTTTACAGTGCGGGGTGGGAGGAGGTGGGGAATGGGGAATGCAGGTTGCCTGGTGATGGCTGACCCCACCCCCACCTCACAGCGGCAGAAGGGGCTGGGGAAGAGAATTTGCCACTCCCTTCCCCCAAAGAATGGTGGAACAGTTTGGTCTTAATTTTCAGACTGAAAAATATTAACCCTGTTTGCCCTGGCCCCAAATTAGTAAGGATTTCCCAGCGATGGCTGGAGCCCGGGTCTGAGACCCAGCTGGGAAGTAGGCATTGTTTCCCTTTGGAGTTTGTCTAGTTTTCTCTGTTCTACTCCCAGTGGACGCCTGCTTACCTGTAGTTCCCCGGTCAAGAGTTCTGCGTTAGGGTTTCTCACTCCTGCGGGGACAGCTGGGCAAAACCCAGTTCACCCCACCGTATTATGATTTATTTGTTCTCTTTGCAGGTGTTCAGAATGGAACATTTGATTATGGTAATCTAGTGTACCCAAAGCTAGCCTTGCTTAGCTTAATTGGTTGCTTTGCGGGGCCTTAAATATGCAAGGCAGTCATGTTGCCACCTAACTGCTACAGTTTTTGGAGCACACTAATTCACTTTGTGTGGTTTGGATATAAACAGTATGTTAACTTTCCTCGTGAAGGAGACAGGAAAAGCCAGAGGGTTTGAAGTTTCCAGACTCCCTTTTTTGTAGGGTGGGTCCAATTTCAGCATGCATGCTTGCAAATGTAATACCTGATTCACTTATCTGGCCAAAGATGAATAGGCATTTCTGAACTCAAATCAGATGAAAATAGAGAGCCTTGAGGTGAGGATGGATGGGGTATCTCGTGGCATCAGTTTACAAGCCATAGGTAAGCAGTATCTTTGCTAAGGAGGGGATGAAGCAATGCTAACTTTCCATTTGATTAAATGAGGTTTGGGGCCTTTAGGTGACTTCCTTTCCAGCTTCAACTGGGCACTGTTGGCCGTCCTTTGTCCTGCCCCATCCTGAGATGTGTGGATATTAACTTCCCTCTCTGCCATCTGTTTCTTATGTGAACGTTTTATTCCCTCGAAAAACAGATCTCATCTTCCTGCCACAGATAGGGGTTTCAGCTTCCTGGGTCTGATGCCCACTTCGGTCCTGACTCATTGCTGGACTTCTGGCTATTTGGTCTCTAAACACCCAAGTTTCCCTATTCATAAATGGAGCTTGTTGCCAGACTTAATTGATCTTTGTAGGATGTTTCTGTGTTTCTGGATTAATGGGGCCCACATATAGATTCAGAAGGTTCTGTTATTGCTTTGTGAGGAGTGAAAACCTTCCTAAGCTCCCAGTGTCAGGAAAAGTTCAGTCTCTGTATCTTCATTTTTCTCCTCCTCCCCGATGTAATCCTAAACCCAGATGGTTATTCCTGTCTCTGTTATATGAGCTGATTACCACTTAGTCATGGTATCAACTTGTAGGAAAATGGAGCTTAATTGATGGTTTTTTAAATAAGTGCAAAGGAAGGCTTCTTTGCTCCTCTAGCGGTAGGTGAAATTGCAAGCTTTCCATCTACCACTTCCTGGGACTTTCCAAGGTGCTGGGGGAACCCAGTTAAGCTAAGCCTGTCTGATGCCCTGGTACATCAGTTGGGTGTTCGAGATAGCTGACATTCGGAAAATGAGATGTACACTGAGAGGCGGAAGTTTAAGAAAGAAACTGGTTGGGCTAGGAAAGTCATTTGAACTAGTTATTAACTCCACCTTGGACATTAAAAACGGAAACAAAACAAAAGCTCAAATCTTGTTCTGTAGGTTGGGTGTATGTGTGTGTGTGTGTGTGTGTGCATGCATGCATGTTAATCTCTAGCAAAGAAGAGTTGTTGCTATAGAGTACGACTTTTGTCATGGATCTAGAAGCTGAAACTCAAGGTGTTAAGAGCTAACTGTGCTAATATTTCCATTTGTTCTCTTGATAAGGCCCCTTCTATCATATATTTGGAGTCAAGAGAATATACTTTTTATAATGACTCAGATTTTGTGGACCTCAAATTTAGTGTGGTAATACACATCTTTAAAACAGCAAATAGGCTCGCATATAGCGAGGATGCATTTAATAGGGAAGAGTGCATGGCCCCTTTAGTGAGGAAGAAAGGGAAATGAATTGGCTTTGCTCTTTGCTTAGCTGTGAAAGACCTGTGGTCTTAGTTGGGCTGAATAAACTGGGAATCAGTTAAGTCTCACGATCATAAAACAGACATGAATTGGAGAGGCAGGGTGAGGTCACCAACACGTGGGAGCTCTCTAGTCTGATGTACTTTGGGATCCTAGATTGATTTTAAAAAAAAAATCTTTTCAGGATACTAAAAGCAACAAAATTTGGGGAAATAATCTGTTAAGGACAAACTTTAAAAAAAAAAATTTTTATTTTTCTTTCTTCTCTCCAAAGCCCCCTGAGTACATAGCTGTTTTAGTTGTGGATCCTTCTGGTTGTGGCATGTGGGATGCTGCCTCAGCATGGCTTGATGAGCAGTGCCACATCCATACCCAGCATCCGAGCTGGTTAAACCCTGGGCTGCCCAAGAAGAGCGGGCAAACTTAACCACTTGGCCATGGGGCCGGCCCCTGTTAAGGACAGATTAAAATGAATATTCATTCATGCTGGCTACTGGAAGGCCGTCATGTAACTAAATATCATGAAACAATACTGGAATAGTTTCCAGATATGCATAGAGAATGTGAGTGATGGAGAGTCGTCTTCTATCTCTTAAAGATTCAAGAGGGAATTGGGTTGCATCTGAAAGGATTTGGATATTACTAAAGGTCAGATATTTTGACGAACTGTAAGCGTAGTAAGATTCTGTCATAAGTTGCTAAGGTAAATTCGGGTTATTAAAAAGAATTAAGGGCTAGATAGTTGTTTTACTAGGAGAGCTGGATGCAGAGAAATGACAGCTGACTGTAGAGATCTATAATTCACAAATTATAAGCCGTCGACATTTGTGCTTCTCCCTGTACGTTTTCTAACCACATTTAGGTTTTTCATAACAGATTGGAAAGTTCGAGTGATGTCGTCCTGGTTAAGGTTTTCCTTTCTGGGGATTCCTCTCGGAGATAACACAGCCTTCCTGGAAGCCTCCCACCTCTCGCATCCCCTCCCACTCCGGGGAGGAAACTGGTCTCAGTGCCCAATGCTGAGTTGGTTCTCTGTTGGCTCTGAGATAAATTACCCTACCCTGCTCATATAAATGGAATGAAATGAGTAAGAAGGGGGAATGTGCCTTAAAGTCATGGTTCCGGTGCTGTGAAAGATGTCCCCTCATGCTTTGTCATAGTCTTCTTTGATTACAGTGTCATCTGTCAGACCTTCAATTAGCGTGGGGGAAGTTCCAGCTGCTTTCCCCTGTGTTTAAAGTTCATCCATACTTTGAGTAAATATATTTTTTTAATGGTTTGTGAGTTTTATTTATTTTATTTATTTTTTTTCTGCTTTTTCTCCCCAAATCCCCCCAGTACATAGTTGTGCATTTTTAGTTGTAGGTCCTTCTAGCTGTGGCATGTGGGATGCTGCCTCAGCGTGGCCTGATGAGGGGTGCCATGTCCATACCCAGAATCTGAACCGGTGAAACTCTGGGCCACCGAAGCAGAGCTCGCGAGCTTAATCACTTGGCCACGGGGCCAGCTCCTGAGTAAATTTTTTTTTTTTTTTTAAAGATTTTATTTTTTCCTTTTTCTCCCCAAAGCCCCCCGGTACATAGTTGTATCTTCTTCGTTGTGGGTCCTTCTAGTTGTGGTATGTGGGATGCTGCCTCAGCGTGGTTTGATGAGCAGTGCCATGTCCGCGCCCAGGATTCGAACCAACGAAACACTGGGCCGCCTGCAGCAGAGCGCGCGAACTTAACCACTCGGCCACGGGGCCAGCCCCCTGAGTAAATATTTTTTAATAATTTTTTAATAATTTTTTAATGCCTGCCCTATGCCAGGTGTTGGGTGTACGGTGTAACCGGTGGTGAGCAAAGCAGCCACGATCCCTGCTTTCAGGATGCTCAGAGCCTGTGGGGGAGGGAGACATTAAACAAATGAACACATAAATAAATAATCATGTATTGTGATAAGCAGTGTGGGGGAAGAGAACAGGGTGTCGTAAGAGAAAAAAGCAGGAAGGACATGATTTAAGGAAGATTACAGATAGTCTCTCTGAAGCAGAGACCTGAAGAATAAAGAAGAATTTCTCTAGTGAAGAGTAGAAGGGAGCCTGATGGAGGGGGAGCAGCCTGTGCAAAGGCCCTGAGACAGGAACAGCTGAGAAGCTGGAGAGACTGTAGACTGAGGCTGAAGAGGAAGGCAGGGCTTTATTTAAGAGCAGTGGGAAGCCACTGAGAGTTAAAAGCAGAGGGGTGGTGTGATCCAGTTTGTCAGGAATCACTGTGGCAGTTGGATGGAGAATGGATTTGAAGCCGTCCTGGCCTGG